CGACTGGCTCCACCAGCACAGGCACGGGCCTGACCCGCTGCGTGCGCAGCTCCGTGAACACGGGTTCGAGCCCCCAGGCGATCAGGGACCGGGCTCCCCCAGCCGGGGCTGGAGGCGAGCGGCGGGGCTCTCTGTGAGCAGAGCGCGGAAGCTTGGCTCGCGGTTCTCTCACCTGCTCTGCCGGGACCGGCTCCGGGTCGACGTCCATCACCACGTCGCACTGGAACTCCACCTGCGGCGAGAGGGCAGCGGTCAGCCAGATAGCTCCTCTCGGCGGGCTTGGCTCAGCGTTACAGGCTGTGCAAACTATCCTAGAGAGGATCACGAGCTCAAAGCTTTCCTGGGCACACCTCAACACCGAAACCCAGCACTGATAATGATAAACCTAGTTACTAATGAAGGGTATCAATCCGTTTCTCTCAATTCTACCATTTCTGATTGATAGATAGATACTTTATTGATCCTGTGAGGGAAACTGCAGTGCAACAGCAGCTTAACACACACAACACAGCCACAGTGTAACAAATTCTATAATAGTACAATACATACAATACAATACAAGAGTTACTCACAGTCCGGACACACAAAGAACAGACTAGAACAGAACAGTACACAGAAAAATCGTATCACACATATGAATATAAATATAGATGTAAATATAGATATAGATATAAATATAGATGTAAATGTATTGCACAGGTCCCTGGCATATATTGCACAAAAAACAGTTGTAAACGGGAAAAGAAAAAGAAAGAGAACAGATGTAGCAGTAGATGTGTAGATGCGTTCAGTCCAGAAACAGGTCACTGTCAATGTTGCCCCTGCCCAGATGCAAGGTGGATGCGTTGTACAGTCTTATGGCAGAAGGCAAGAATGACCTCCTGTTGAGTGGGAGCTGTGTCAGTGTGCATTAGGTGTAAAGGAACAAGCAAAGATAACCTGCCAGGAAAGGCAATGTTTCAGCTGTCGAATCCTCCTCCTTTCTACATTTCAGCACAGAAGCGACCTGTTCCTTTTAATCATCGTGTCACTATGGGCTTTCAGAGATGCGCCCGAGGAATTTTCTATGAAACGGAACAAAAGGCGAGCTGGCCAGAGCCTGAGGGGCTCGCCTGAACTCGAGGAGCACGCTGCACAGCTGTCACCAGCGGACGACCCACGACAACGCGGTTTGGAAACCTCATCATGGTGTTTTACCCACTCAGGTTCTCAACAAGCAGCGAGCACGCTTGGGTTTGGGTCATGAAAGCGGTTTCCTGTTTTGCAGTTACTCCTCTGCCCTGCAGTTTTGGGGTACAGGTTCCCCCCCCACCCTGCCTACCTCCTTGTCTTTCCCGGCGCACGCGGCGACAACCTCTCCCTGCTCCAGCTGGGGCACGACCGTCACGGCCTTGTCTTGGTCGCCGGCGTAGAAGCCCATCTCCACCTTGCGCTTGATGGTGGAGTTCCAGTGATTCTTCACGGCGTTGTCCGTCCTGCCAGGACACCAGCGAGAGGTTAACCGGCTTTGCCGACAGAAGCCCCGGGCACTCGAACCCGCCGCCTGCCTCGGGGCACGCGATCCTGGCCCAGAAGGGCTCCAGCGCTTCTGCCCTGGGGGGGCTGTAACTCTCCGCACTGAGCTCTTCACCCAGCCTGGTCCCGACTTCAATCAGGCCCAGGACCAAGCAGCAAGAATCAAAGACACTACAGATTTCCTGGAATAACCACCAACTTCATCTTATATAGCATCTCAAAGCGCTTTCGGGTAGGTGTAAGAGACAGTTTTAAGGACAGCAAGCAGTTAGACGTGCAGCAGGAGATACATGGTCATGAGAAAACTGACTTTCGCATGACGTCTGTCCGGAAGGAAAGGTTTGGGGTCTGGATCAAATGGCCTGAGGCTGATATCCCTGGGGACAGAGTCCCAGAGCTCTGGGGCGTAGCGAGAGAAGGCCCTGTACCCCCCCCAGAGCAGAAACGAGCTTGGGGGACCCCCAGGAGACCAGCAGCTGACTGAGGAGCACGTACCTGCCCGGGAGCAGCTTGGCGATCTCGGCCCAGCGGTTCCCCAGGATGCGGTGCGCCTGGTAGATGATGCGGTCCTCCTCGGCGGTCCAGGAGGACTTCTTCACCTCGGGGTTGAGGTGGTTGTGCCAGCGCTCCCGGCACTGCTTGCCCAGCCGGCCCTTCAGGTGCTTGGCCACCATGGCCCACTGCTTGGTGCCGTACTTCTTCACCAGGTCGATGACCTGGGGGGGGGGGGAGAGGGGCGTCAGGGTGGGCAGCGGGGAGGCACGTGGACGCCCCAGTGCGACTGGACCAGTGGTGGTGGAGCCAGCAATAATAATAATAACAATAAAGGTTATTATAATTGCTTACACTTATATAGCGCTTTTCTGGACACTCCACTCAAAGCGCTTTACAGGTAATGGGGATCCCCTCCACCACCACCAATGTGCAGCCCCACCTGGATGATGTGACAGCAGCCATAGTGCGCCAGAACGCTCACAACACACCAGGATCAGGGGGGAGGAGAGCAGAGTAATGAAGCCAATTCATAGATGGGGATTATTAGGAGGCCATGATTGGTAAGGGCCAATGGGAAATTTGGCCAGGACGCCAGGGTTACACCCCTACTCTTTTCGAGAAACGCCCTGGGATTTTTAATGACCACAGTCAGGACCTCAGTTTTACGTCTCATCCGAAAGGACAGCGCCTGTTTACAGTAGAGTGTCCCCATCACTACACTGGGGAATTAGGACCCTCATGAGCCGCAGGGTGAGCGCCCCCTGCTGGCCCCACTAACACCTCTTCCAGCAGCAACCTTAGTTTTTCCCAGGAGGTCTCCCATCCAGGTACTGACCAGGCTCACACCTGCTGAGCTCCAGTGGGGCTGCCAGTTGTGAGTTGCAGGGTGATATGGCTGCTGGCAAAGAGAGCTGGTAAAAGGCAGGGCCTGGTCACTGAAGGGTGCTTTGCACGGAGCTACTCTCCGGCCCACGGCTCTGGGCACCCCCCCCACGGCTCAGGGCTCCAGGGGCCTCCCCCCTCTCCGGCTCACAGAAGGGAAACGGCGTCTCTCTTTATCCTCTGCACTCACCTTCTCATCCTCCTCTTTCGTCCAGGGGCCCTTGATCAGGTCCGGGTTCAGCACTTTAAACCAGCGGTGCTGGCACTGGTGCTCCGTGCGGCTCTGGGGGCGAGAGAGATTGGCACCTTCAGCCAAACAGCCTGATGCTCAACAGAAGCCCAATATCACCCTGCTCTGCCTGGGGCGCGAGGAGCAAGACTGACACGGGGTCAGATTTCCTCGGAGGTGGAGTTAGCAGGAGGCTCCTAAATACAGGGGCGAACTATTCAGCACGGTTCAGGACTTATTCCACGATCATCAGGACTGAATTCCTTCTTCCAGCCTCTGGCGGGGGGGGGACTTACTGGTAAGAAGCTGGCAATGGTCTTCCAGTCATTCTGGCCAAAATTCTGGACCAGGGTCTTCAGGTTCTCGTCCTGAAACCGAACAAGGCGAGACGTCAGTAGGCGCAAAAACAGGACCAGCTTCAACACGGACCCAGACAGAACCGCCCAGACCCTCAGCGGAGCGGAAACCGGGGAGGCCGTGGGCGCCACCGCCGGGCGCGGGCGTCGGGGCGACTCACCTCCTCCTGCGTCCACTTCACCTTGACCCTGCCACTCTCCCGCTGCTCCGCCACGTCCGAGTCCGTGTCCTGATAGACCGTCTCCTCGCCATCCTCCCTGCGGCACAGAGGGAGGTCAGAGGTCGGCAGCATCACCCTTGCCACACGTGCCAGCTCGACTGGTGTGGCTCCCACCCCAACCAGCAGGGCCACACGGCAGGGCAGAGGCGAGGAAAACCCACATCTGCATGGGGGGAACATGCAGACTCCACCCGGACTGATCCCCTCACACACACACACACAACGAACCTCAGCCCCTGTTATTTTTGTTTCCAATTAACACCGATGATACACAACAGGCTAACAGCTGGCATGCCAGGTCTTTCCTGCAGTACAGCATGATGCAGTCTATTGGTCACGTCCCTACTTCCAGTATCCCAGGATCTTATGAGTTTCCACACCCACTTCTCACAATTCCAGGGCAGAGCTCTGGTGAGCTGCGGACCACCTCGGCTCAACCTGGTTGACACCTAAGGCCCCGTGCTCAACACGTTGAAACACAGAACTCGCCTGGGGTCTGCGGCAGGACGTCTACAGCTGCGGCCACAGCCAATTCCACGATCAATAAGGCTCCCTTCGTGCTTCGGACTGCTCAGCAGGCAGACGACACTGTCTTTAAAAAGACTCGCTGGAGTCATACTCTGCAGCAGCTTCACTTAGACGGAAGTATTTCTGGGCTACTGCAGGTCACACGCAGTTAAAACCCCCTTGTAACAGCTGAAGATCGAAATCCCCCTAACATCCCTGCACGTGTCTCCTTGGCTGCAGTACGGCACTGTGTGGGCAGAGGGCGTGGGCCCTGCTTCCACTTATATAGCACTTTTCTGGACACTCCACTCAAAGCGCTTTACAGGTAATGGGGATCCCCTTCACCACCACCAATGTGCAGCCCCACCTGGATGATGCGACAGCAGCCATAGTGCGCCAGAACGCTCACCACACATCAGCTATCAGTGGTGAGGAGAGCAGAGTAATGAAGCCAATTCATAGATGGGGCCATGATTGGTAAGGGCCAATGGGAAATTTGGCCTGGACACCAGGGTTACACCCCTACTCTTTTTGAGAAACGCCCCTGGGATTTTTAATGACCACAGTCAGGACCTCAGTTTTACGTCTCATCCGAAAGGACAGCGCCTGTTTACAGTAGAGTGTCCCCATCACTACACTGGGGGATTAGGACCCACACAGACCGCAGGGTGAGCGCCCCCTGCTGGCCCCACTAACACCTCTTCCAGCAGCAACCTTAGTTTTTCCCAGGAGGTCTCCCAGCCAGGTACTGACCAGGCTCACACCTGCTGAGCTCCAGTGGGGCTGCCGGCTGTGAGCTGCGGGGTGATACAGCCCTATCTCAAGAAAGCTTCGTTACAAACCGCTACAGGGAAGCAAACGGCACAACAAGAGCACGTGTATAAAGAGTCTTGCACAACCCGTCCACTGCGAACAGCGCTGCCCTGAGACCCCGGAGCGGAAGAGCCGCTCCGTTTCCACCGTCTCCCCTCAGGCCCTCAATAACACAGCCGCCGGCCCGACAAAACAACCAGCTTCCCGCACAAGACGTGCTTTCACACAATACCGATACTCCCTAGCGAACCTTAAATAAAAAAACAGTCAACAACTGCGATGACGCCTGGTCCCGACTGCGACTGGGGCACCGGAACCACCGGCACCGAGCGACCGGAAAACGTCTTTTTTTTTAAATAAAACCTGGGCCCGCAAAGGTCACCGTCGGCCAGGTTTCGTGTCAAAACCCTCGCGAGCGCAGAGCTGCACCCCCAGTCCGGAGAGGGGGAGAGGGCTCCCCGACTCCTCACGCGAACAGCTGTTCGGGCCGCCCGATGACGTCACCCCCCCCCCCGCGCCACAACTGCTACACAACGGTGGTTCCACGTTTCAAACAACCCAAACGTCTGAAAGGGTTTAAGGATTGCTGGAGCACACAACGTTACGCAAACATGTACTTTCTTAGTGTTGGGGAGAACCTGCGTTCTAAAGCATCTGCAGACAATTGTTCAACCAAGTTTGTTTGCTTGGGGGAAAAAGCGCGATCATTAATTTCATCTTTAAAGACGATAACGTGGGAGTTCTCGGTTTCATCTTCCGTCCGTCGAATTTCAGCCCCAAGGGGCATCGAAGACCTGAGACGAAACTTGGGAGCAACTCGAGTTGCCTCGGCAGCTCCCCACCCCACCGCCGCAGTCACGAAAGAGATTTAGCAATAAATCAAATATTTCCGACAAGCTCCAACACGTGCACCTTTTAAAGCCTTTTACTAGCTTCCAGAGCTGAAAAAAAAACAACAAAACAAAGCTCCAAAAAACCAGCCCCGGTTTGCAAACTGTCCCGGACTGGCGGGGGGAGAAATCGCGCGATTATTTCAGCAAAAAAAAAAAGCGCTTAAAACCGCGCAATGGAAGACGCTGCCGTGCGTTTTGTACCCAAGTTGTTACGGCGGCTTCAGCTACGGCGATGCACTTTTGTAAATACCCAGAGTTTATTCTCTCCCCCCCGGCTCCCGGATTACAATAGTATCGGCGCTCCTTACCCGCGCGGCCACCAGGACATTTCCCCTTCCTGCGCTCCGGAGCCCCGAAACCCCCAGAAACCTGCGACCGCAGCCTCCTCTCCGCGCCGGGCCTCCCGGTCCTGCCGATTTTAAAAAGCCGGGAGAAAATATCCCCGGGTTTTTTTTCTTCCCTGCCTCCCACCAGGACTGCGCGGTTTCGGGGGCTCGCCAGGCGCTGCTCGCGCTCCCAATCGTTTCTATCTCGCGCCGAGTCTCTCCCCGGAGTGACGCGCGCGCGGGAGGGGGAAACAGGAAACTTGGCGGGTCGCGCGCGCGGCCGCGTCCCGCCCAGAGTGAGCCGGCGCGCGCGCGCGCGCGGCCGCGGCCGCTGGGTCACGAACCGGCCACACTCGCGTCCGAGACCCGCTGTGAGGAACAAGTGCGGGTTTATTCCGCTGCCGGAAGGAGAAGAAAGGAAACACAGCGTTTCGGATGCGAACGGGAGAATTTTAAATTCAGAACACTGTAATTTTAATATTGGTTTTTGTACTGCCCTGTTTTTCTTACACCCGAAGAAGGCTCCACAGCCGAAACGTTGTTTCCTCTCTTCTCTTTTGAAGAAGAAATGGGCTTGATAACTGCCCATTTAACACCTAAAAAGCACACGACCCTGTGCAATACTGTAAGTGGACAGGGGGGAAAAGCGAGGTTTCATTTTGATGCGATTTCTACATACCAGATACAAGCTTAGCACACATTTCTTTGACACTGGAAGTTTATTTTATCCTCGCACAATCAACTACAGTTCGCCCCAACCCCAAAAAAAATATTTTACTATCCCGTGGTAGCACACGATTCCCATCACACGTACAACCTCGCTCGAGTGACTGGTATCATGTATTCATGTAGACGGCTTAGAATAACTGCACCTTGACGATCAGCTCGGTGCTGTCCGGGAGGGTCGAACCGGCCCGCCTGCTCTGAGTCCGGGCCCCGCCGACCCCACACGCACGGCACGGCACGGCACGGCGCACATGATCACTGAGCCACACCACACACTTAACCAGGAGGCCATTGTTTATAAAAGTAATAGCGTGGCCTGTAATCCGGAGAAAAAGAACTGTAAAGTTCTCATTGAGTTTTCACGTTAGTGGTTGACGGTTGCCAAGGACGGGGGGGTCATTTAGCCCAGCTAACTGGTTTGTTAGCAGTTAATTGATCCGGAGAAGGTCGTCCAGCCGTTCCTTGAGAGAAACCAGCGTATCAGCTTCGACAAAATGGCTGCGTGACTTTTCCAGACCCCCCCCCAATCGTTTGTGCAAAAACAAACACCCCCCCCCCCCCGCAAATGACGCTAATTACGCGATCAAATATAAATAGGAGAGCGGACGATATAAAACAAGCCGAAACTCACCTGCTGGTTTATGTGATTAAGGAGAGACCATGGAAGATGAGCTTCACCGGGCTGGTAGGAAACCCTTTCGAAAAGCTCAATAACTCCTTTACAAGAAATTCAGGCTAATCGGTTTTGATTTTAATCTTTGCAAGCCAAGGTCCATTTTGTGCCGAACTATGTCCGGTGGGTACC